TATTAGTAGTAGTAGTAGTAGTAGTAGTAGTAGTAGTAGTAGTAGTAGTAGTAGTAGTAGTAGTAGTAGTAGTAGTAGTAGTAGTAGTAGTAGTGAGCAGTGAGATTAAGGCAATGACAGACTCTCCACATCTTTCTGCGTCATTTTTAAAGAGGATGGGGATGCAACTAGAAGATTGCTTTAAAAAGGAGGGGTCAAATGGAGATCTGGGTAAAGTTCCATGGCCTCACTTTGTGGGCAGGTCCATTTGCAGAAGATCAAATACTGTCCCTTATCATTCCAGTTGTCTTCCCTTTTTTCATAAACCCTAGTAAGATGGTGGGATTCTGATTCCCGGACAAAGCTTTCGATTTAGTTCCAGGGACTCAGGGCTCCCCGTGAGGCAGGATTACAGCCTATCCCTTAGAAGGATTTCCTTATCTTTCTTTCTGAACCTCTCTCATCCTGTTCCCCAGCACGCCTATGGGACACCCAGTACTGCAGGGCAAAGTGGCTGGACTTTTATCTGAAAGTAAACAGAGACCAGACACTGTTTTTTTCCCCCTGCAACAAGTTGCAATCACAGCACGTTTTATTGGGTGTTCTGACCTGAAGGAAAACAGGTCAACATGCTGGCGCCTCAGAGACCAGAGGAAAAAAAATGATCAGATGGGAGACTGAGGAGAGGAGGAAAACCTCTGATCTGGCACGGAGCTCATGCTTCTGATGTAGAAGGTCTCAAGTCAAGTTCCTGATATCACCAGGCAAAACTGTTGCAGAGTTTTGAATGTTTGGTTAAATTCCTCTAGCTATGTAGCAGAAGTGCAGATGATTCACAGAGCAGAACAGCTTCAAGTTCCCCAAACCAGTCCCCCCCTTTTGTCATCAATCATCAATTGGCACTTCTTGTTGTTTAGTCATTCAGTCGTGTCCGACTCTTTGTGACCCCATGGACCAGAGCACGCCAGGCCCTCCTGTCTTCCACTGCCTCCCAGAGTTGGGTCAACTTCATGTCGGTCACTTCGATGACCCTGTTCAACCATCTCGTCCTGTGTCATCCCCTTCTACTCTTGCCTTCACTTTTTCCCCACATCAGTGTCTTTTCCAGGGAGTCTTCTCTTCTCATGAGATGGCCAAAGTATTGGAGCCTCAGCTTCAGGATCTGTCCTTCCAGTGAGCACTCAGGCTTGATTTCCTTCAGAATGGATAGGTTTGTTCTCTTTGCAGTCCAGGGGACTCTCAAGAGTCTCCTCCAGCACCACAATTCAAAAGCATCCATTCATTGGTGGTCAGCCTTCTTTATGGTCCAGCTCGCACTTCTATACATCGCTACTGGCAAAACCATAGCTTTGACTATGTGGACTTTTGTTGGCAAGGTGCTGTCTCTGCATTTTAAGATGCTATCTAGGTTTGTCATCACTTTCCTCCCAAGAAGCAGACGTCTTTTAATTTCATGGCTGCTGTCACCATCTGCAGTGATCATAGAGCCCAAGAAGGTAAAATCTGTCACTGCCTCCATATCTTCCCATTCTATTTGCCAGGAAGTGATGGGACCAGTGGCCATGATCTTAGTTTTCTTGATGTTGAGCTTCAGACCATTTTTTGCGCTCTCCTCTTTCACCCTCATTAAGAGGTTCTTTACTTCCTCCTCACTTTCTGCCATCAGAGTGATATCATCTGCATATCTGAGGTTGTTGGTATTTCTTCTGGCAATCTTGATTCCAGTTTGGGATTCATCCAGTCCAGCCTTTCGCATGATGAACTGCATATAAGTTAAATAAGCAGGTGAACAATATACAGCCTTGTCGTACGCCTTTCCCAATTTTGAATCCATCAGTTGTTCCATATCCAGTTCTAATTATTGCTTCCTATCTCATATATAGATTTCTCAGGAGATAGAGAAGGTGGTCAGGCACTATTTCTTTAAAGGCCCATTCACAGTCTTGTTTTGTTTTCATTCTAAGCATCCCAAACATCAAACATTCCTTGTAATTTTATATTGAGAGACGTGCAGAGTTCCTCTGCTTAAGGACCATTCTAGTACCCCTGTGACCACTCATTTCTTTCCTCATTAATTCTCTAGGTGCTGTCGGTGACTGGAAGAACTATTTCACTCCCAAACAGAACCAGATGTTTGAAGAGACATTTAACAAGAAAATGGCATTCAGCGAAGTGGCAAAACATCTCGTTTATGAATACTGATTCGATGGCAAACAGGGGGGTGAGTCCACATTAAGTGTGTTTGCTGCAGGCCAGTACTCCTTAAAACGGCTTATGCCTTCCAGATTTATGAACTAGGTTTTTTTTCTTTCCTAAAGAGGAATGTAGAACGTGTAGAAGCGGTACCGGCAGCGACGTGGATGCTGGCTCTGATGTAGGATGCAGACGATAATAAATAAACAGGTTTATCATGTTTTTTTTAAATGTGATTGTGGGGTTGTGTGAAATTATTTATCGTTGCTCCTTACAATATGACTTATTTATAAACTGTGGGAAGAGCCTGAGATGTTTTGGCTCTTGAACATTTTCCTCACTAAGTGACAGACACAGGGACATGACCCGCTAAGCCATCCGTCTGCTGCAATGTGGTCTGTCCACCATTAACCTGGCTGCTTACGGAGCGAGAAGGAAAAGTGTATCAAATAGTTCAGCCATTCTTATTGGGGGGCCCTGGCACTTTTGATGAGGGGGTTTGTCACAGACTGAAAACAATTCTTCAACTTATGCAATCCTGATTTGGCCTGTATTTTTTTTTGTCTCTACAGCCATGCCCCCTCCCAAAAAAAGGTTGAGAATGATTGATAGATTTCACAGTCAGATGTGAAATGGCTTTGCACATTACTTTGTTTTCAAAGGATACAAGCCTTACAGGTTAAAGGAGAAATATTTAATTAGGTAATAGCATTTCTTTGCGGGGGGCGGGGGGGAATCAAGGGCTTAAATCTGTTGGTCTCAACTAGAAGAGACACATAGAATCATCACGGAATCATAGACAAGTAGGCCTTGCCGGGACCACATCAAGCCGAACCCCCTGCCAAGGCGGAAAATCCCTACCTAAAGCATCTTTAATACATGGCTATCCAACCTGTTTCAACAGCTCCAGTGTCAGAGGATCCACCAAACGACAGGACAGCCCTCTGTCAAACAGCTCTCTCTGTTAGGAAATTCTTTCTAATGTTGAGTCGCAATCTCCTTTCCTGAAATTTAAATCCACTGAGTCAATGGGACTTATGGGAATGCGGGATTTAAGAAGCCCCATTCATTCAATGAGCCTCCTCTGTGTGGCACTATGAATTAGATTTAGCAGGGAGATTTTACTGTATTTTTCCATGTATAAAATGACGCTTTTCCCTAAAATAATTACAGGAAAAATTGAGGGTCATTTTATACACGGAAGTATGGAGAGGGGGAGGGATTCAAAGCAGTTTGATCCCTGCTTTCCCCTTCCACGTTTTGCAACAAAAGTGGAGGGGAAAAGCGATTCCTGGTTTGTCCCTACACTTTCGTTGCAAAAAGCTGCTTTTCCCCTACACTTTTTGCAACTATAGTTTAGGGGCAAAGCAGGAATCGCTTTCCCCCTACACTTTCATTGCAAAAGTGTAGGGGGAAAGCAGCTTTTTGCAAAGACAGTGGAGGGGGAAAGCAGGAATCAAAGCGTTTTGATCCCTGCCTTCCCCCTCCATGTTCTTGCAAGGAAAGAAATTTTGGGTTAGAAAAGTGGTGGGTGTCTTATACATGGGGCTGTCTTAAACACAGAAAAATATGGTAATGATAAGCCAAATATCCCCACCTGCAATTGCGTATACTTGATTCTGACTACTTCCCACTTTCTGTCTTCTATGTAGTTTCAAATGTCTATAGGTTTCATGGTCTTGAAGTGACAGCTCCAAAAGTCACACAGATACTCCAGTTTATTAGCCGAAATCCTATCGCACAATTACACAAACAGCATAAATTTTGGAAGCAAACTGCTGTAAGCTAACACATCTCTATAGGTTATGACCACAAGCTTGAGCCTACAAGAGGTGAGCAAGGCTGTCGAGGACAGGATATTGGGAGATTGCTCATTTATAGGGTTGGTATAAGTCGGAGGCAATTTGGCATCACATAACAACAAACAAGAAATCTCTGTAGACACTATCTGTTGCATACCGAGCCACATAGAATCTATGTTTTGGGGAGGGTTTGTGTGTGTGTGTTTAATTTGGAGTTTAATGGTGAAGTAAGGCCAAGGCACACTCTTTATTGCCACCTAACTAATGACTGGAGTAGTGACCTTGACTTCACAAATGATCTATTACATTGCAGGCCTGCTAAAACAACCTTAGGCCAGATAGAGATGGATTCTGCAAATCAAGGTCCTGAAGTATCACCAAAAAGCATTTTGCTGTGTTCTTTTCCAGGACACCACACACAGAGACGTGTATGTACATGCGTCTACACACATACACATTTTCCTCACAGCAACTCTCCTCAAAAGCCAATCCACTTTCTTTACATAATGTGCATGGTCACATTTTATTATGCTATGTGGATTTTTTTTCCACCTCAGAACATCCCTCCTAAACATTGCTTGCACCTCTGAAAAACAGGGAAATATGGTGAATATAGCTCACTTCCCCATTTTATCCTCAAAGCAACCCTGTGAGGAAGATGTAATGGAGAGTAAAGGGTTCAAATTCAGACAGGGAATGTACACTGCTCAGTAAGTAGGACCTGAACCCCATCCAGTCCAACACTCCAGATACAACCTGGGGAGGAAGTGAGCAACTGTGACCTTCTGGATGTGTATGAATTAAAACTCTCATAATTGCTCAGCAGTGGCTTTGCTGGCTAGGACTGTAAAGCTGTGGTCACACCAGCAAAATGTCCCCCTATTTTCTCGTGTCTTTTCCTCCCTGAGCAGTTGCACGTTGCAGTCATATGACATATATCCCACGGTGTGCGTTCTGATGTGTTTTTGAATTACCACAATATTTCCCTAAATTCGATGTGGCGTGACCAGTTACACTTCAGTGCTGGAATTTTTCCCTCTGGTTTGTCTCTGGGACCCTTTTTAAAAAAGGAAAGTAAGTGGTGGTTGTTGTGGGTTTTTGGGGCTCTTTGGCTGTGTTCTGAAGGTTATTCTTCCTAACATTTCACCAGTCCCTGTGGCCGACATCTTCAGAAGACAGGAGTCAGAACTCTGTCTGTGCTCTGGTGCAGCTTGTTTGGATATCTGAGGATTTATAGCTTTTGTCCTTTTCAGGAGATGGGCGATTGTGGTGATTAGCGTGTTTTTTTATTGTGGGTGTCTTGTTGGGATAAGAGGGAGAGAAGATCTGTCACTTTGATTGATGGGTGTCGTTCGCTGGTCTTTTTTGTGCAGTGATCACTAGACCTTGTAGGTCCTTGCTTGCTAAATTTTAAAAATAAACAAAGGGACATGCAGGCAAATGACATATCTGGCAGAAGCAACACAAGGCTGCTTGCCAGAAAAAGTATTGGTACAACTGTGCACAAAAAGAATTGTTGTGCAATGAATTTCACAACAAAAAAGGTAGAAGCCTTTTGGAAGGTGGGATTTGATGCAGGAATAGTATGGGGAGGGAACCAAAGAATCAATAATGGCCATGCATTGTCTGAACCCTGCCCCCTAAAAGGGTTGAAATTAACGAGGAGTAACTTGAAAACATTTTGCTGGTGTAACTAGAGCCCAAGCCAAAAACATAGAGAGGGCCATACAGTAGGGGTCTATCCTGTTCTTATTATACCACAGTATCCATGCCTAACCAGTTGCCAGAAATATAGCCAAGCTACAGAAATTATTCTCACAAACATATATAGTGACAGGGTGCACATTACAAATCAAGGAGTGGCTCTTTTCAACCATGTTTCTATGTTAACTGTATTTTTTTTTTAAAAAAAAGGATGACAAACATGCAAACTAGGTTTTTACCTTTTTTATTCCTGAATAAAAAATAACGAAAGATTTCTTTTAACACTTTACAATTCATTTCAACCACTAATAACTTATAATCCCAAAGACAAATCAGTAGAAATTTTTTTGAGATCCATATTGCACCAGGAGAACACTTTGAGCATGAAGGTTCATCATTTTTAATCCAAAGGAATCCTCAAAACAAAAAAAGGATCATCTAGTCCAGCCGGTTGACAGAAAAGGGATCTTATATTTCTGCATGGAACCCTAAAAAGCCATCCCACCATTCGGTTCACAAATCATTCAAGGCAACATATGGTCTACTTTTCCGCTCAGACTTACCAGCTGATAATACAGCCCTTGGGATAAGTACAAAGGACTTTAAAATGGTAAAATTCTGCCTCTCACCTTCCTTTCCTCACTGCTCTTCCGTCCCCCAGCCACACCCCTTTACACCCAACAATGCAAATGCTTTGAAAACCCTGCACCCTGGAAGCAAAACGGATCAGCAAACCAGTCTGCACATGTTTGGATCAAAAGTCATGGAATTTGCTTCCAGTGAAGAAAACTCCAAATGACGGTTTAATAACATTTTGCACTACAACTCCCAGAATCCTCTGGCCAGGATGGTTATGGCAGATACCATGGAAGAAGGAAGGTAGCAGAATAATGACGTTTGCTTACATACATCGCTAAGAGTTATTACTCTTACCCCTAGTAAGGGGTAAGGGCAGGACACCAATTAGTTTACTGTAGTAACAATAAGCACGAGTCCTTTGCATTTGAAGCGGTGGACTTCAATCTGCAAATGATGCCAAATAAAACTTGTTCATCTTAAGATGCCATCATCCTCTTTGTTGTCCTTTACTGAGCAGAGGGGTCAATTCCCACAACACAAGGCAACTACATTTCTTACATGTATGCCACCAGCAACAGTGGTACCTGCTGCAAATTTAAATTCTGGCACTAATACGGAAACTCCCATCTGTGATACACTCCATGAAACTACACCTGTCCAAAAAAAAAATTGATCCACGATTCTGCTGATGAAACAAACTGGCTTGCAGTAAAAGCAGATGAGCTGGATGGACTAAAGATTAGCTTCAGAGCTGAAAATGAGGCTTAAAAATCACATTTTGGAAATGTCACTGTGTTGTTTTTACTGCAGATCCCAGTATACCCCAACCAGCATGGCCGGTCACAGTGCTACTGGTGGCCATTCTGGGAGCTGCTGGATTTACAATCAACAGCTACTTGACAATTTTAATTGAATCGGAAGGCAGGGAATGGGTACCCTGCCAGCTTTACAAGGACTACAACTCTCATCATCCCTGATCACATGGGCCAGAGCTAGCCCTGGAGTCCAGCAACATCCGCAGCATCACAGGTTCCTCAACCTTGTTTTTAATGGGGATTGCAAGCAAAGCATTTGCTTTAGCAACGAACGAAGGCCCCTCGTCTTCCCTTTGGTATCAAAATCCAGAGCCATGGGGAGGATTCAGTCTCTTTCAAACTTGGAAGATTCTCCCTCCTTGAGATGTCAGGAGGCAAAGCGTGCAGTATTTGTAACTGAGAGTCGAGGAAGCTCCTTTTTCCAGGGAAATTTGCATGACAGCACTGGGTATGGATGGAATCCTGTAACTGCACCACCACCACCACCCCGATCGACTAAAGAGATCAGCATTAAAGCTGCAGAATTCCTAGTAGGATCCACAGAAAGTCAGCTTGAGCTGGTGGACATACAACAAGATTTAAAACAAACAATTTGGCTTTAGTGCCTGAAAATGCATGCTATTTTTTTTAAAAAAAGAAGACAATGCCCTTCAGCTTCCTCAAATGTCAAAAGCCAAGCTGTGAGTAAACGACAAAGAAACCCCGCGGAATGAATCAGATGATTTCCTGCCCAGCCTTTGGGGCTTTAACACCGGAGCTGCTTTCCAGATGAATTCACCTTTTCCATTAGGAGGAAAATGTGCTCGGCAAACTCCCGGACTGCGCCACGGCCGCCGTTACATCTGCAGATGTAGCTCGTGGCTTTCTGGGCAGCCGGGCAGCCGTCAGCAGGGACGGCGCTCATGCCGGCTTTCTTCAGGCACTCCACGTCAGATTCTTCATTTCCTGCCAAGAGAAAGAGAGAGACATCACTCCACATTAGATCAGAGGAGGAAAAACACCAGTAGAGGACCAGAAGCTCAAGCACAAGTCTAAGGCATAAATACAGAGGTAGTCCTAAAGAGGAGGTGCAGGATCTGTTCTCAACCATCCTAGAGTGCAGGACACTTAAAAAATGGACTCAAGCTGCAGGAAACCAGATTTAAGCCAAATGTCAGGGGGGGAAATTCTTAACTGTTAGAGCAGTACGACAAAGGAAACCCATGACCTGGGGAGGTGGTGAGTGCTACAACACTGGAGGCATTTTCAAAGGAAAAATGGACAACCATCCTCAGATCCACTTTGAATTGTATTCCTGCACTGAGCAGAAGGTTGGACTCAATGGCTTTATAGGCCCCTTCCAATTTCATTATTCTGTGATTCCATGATTTCCAGCCCAAAGGGTCTCCAGAGGTTGTGAAAGCCACTCTTAAGTAAACAGTGGACACTTCTTTTGTTTTTACAAGCAACACCTTGTTGAAGAAGGGACTCACATGCCCCAAAGACAGTGATTCCTCTGTTTAGGGGGAGAGGGCTGAAAGAGAAAATAAAAATGACCAAAACGAAAAGGGAGAGAGACGGAAAAAGAAATGAAAACTCACCTTCAAGGACTCAAAAAGTCCCTTCTGGACACAGATGGCTTGTGAACTGTGTGATTAATAACCCCCAAACTGCTGTGTGACCTTCTCGAGTCACAGACAGCGCTCACAGAATTAGACAAGAAAACTTCAAATGGATCCAGTCCCAATAAATGGAGCTTATATACTTATTAACTTACAAAGACTGGAATCCCGTTGCTTAATGCAGGGGGTTGGACTAGAAGACCTCCCATTAAACATAACAAAAATAAAAAATAAAAAAGGAACTCTCCTTTGGTCTTATTTTTTGTAATATTATGTGTTTGTAAGCCGCCTAGAGTGGTCGCAATGACCAGATAGGCGGGATATAGATAGAATAGATAGAACAAACAAACAAACAAACAAACAGAATCCCGTTGCTTAATGCAGGGGGTTGGACTAGAAGACCTCCCATTAAACATAACAAAAATAAAAAATAAAAAAGGAACTCTCCTTTGGTCTTATTTTTTGTAATATTATGTGTTTGTAAGCCGCCTAGAGTGGTCGCAATGACCAGATAGGCGGGATATAGATAGAATAGATAGAACAAACAAACAAACAAACAAACAAACAAACAAAACGGGATATAGGTAGAATAGAATAGAACAAACAAACAAACAAACAAACAAACAAACAAACAAACAAACCCTACAACGATTCTATGATTCTATGAATCTCTCCATAGGCCCAAATATGTCTCCCAAAATTTGCCTTATCTCTATTTTTTTAAAATTTAAAAACAATTACATTTATAAAAATAAAATTTTAAAAATCATTAAAAAATCATTTAAAAAGCATTACACCCCCCAGGTAAAATAGCCCATTAGAATACACACACGCACACACACACATACACACATTTGCGGGTGAGGGTTGCAAGGTCCAGATTTCTGAGATCGCCCACCCCTGCTTGTGGGGTGTACGATTCTCCTCTAGGACAAAATCTGCCCCCCACATCTTGTTTGAATAAAATATTTATTAAAGAGGAAAAGAAGAGTTTAAGACAAGTTGGGGATAGTTCTTGAAGGGTCTTTAAGTGAGAAAAAACAGCCTCTGGACTCTGAGATTTCCCACGCCTGTTGAACTGACCCGTGTGATCAGCATGATCGACTCAATAAAAAACACCGTTCAAGTTTTTAAGAGAAGGAAAACGGGGTGCCTAACCCAAGTACGCCACTTCCTTCCAGGACAATCCCATTTCCTTCCTCCACTTCTCCACCATCTGCAGCTTGTCCGTCACGCCAGCCTCCACGGTGCAGCCCAGTTTCATGGCAGAGAGAGTCTTCAAGGAGCAGTCCCGCTCAGAGATCAGTCGCACCTGGGCAAAACCAGACACCATGAGGACGGAATAGCAGAAACCAGGGGAGACAAAGTTACTGCACCGAGCAACTGGGTTAGAGAATCTGTCCGAGCCTTGTGTTAATGGATGGATGGATGGATGGATGGATCAGCGGGAACCAGTTACTGCACCGAGCAACTGGGTTAGAGAATCTGCCTTGTGTTGATGGATAGATGGATGGACTGAGTGAGTGATTTAATCCGTTGGCTATTAAACGTCTACCCCACCCAACTAGTGGAGAGCCACACTACTCTGGGTGGCTACATGAAATTAACCACAAGTATGGAAACTAAATTAAAAACAATAATTGTAAGAGAAAAATACAACCCCACAAAAACCCTATCATCTACACTGAAGATGGCCAGTGTTGGGCTTTTTCTTGTCATAGAGAAGCAGACCCTCAATAAAGCCTAGGAAAGCATGAATGATATTTGGTGGTTCATCAACCCCAAATATAACCATCACAATGGAGAGCCAACACTAAGTGAACTCATGCGGGAAAGGACAAAAATCCCAGGGTGGGAAAAGGGACTTCGGAAACTAAACCAGGGAAACCTGGAATCAAATCTGTGTTTATCCAAGAGACTTAACCAGGTGACAAGGCTATTTTGAGGATGGGAAATCAGATCCTTTTCACCTTCTTGGTCCAAGAGCAGAGTACACAGGTTAGATGGTAGGCCAGTGAATTTTTATAATTCCAAGGTCCACTTTGTGTTGCTTATATACTACCCTAAAGCACTTAAAGGCCTCTCTGTGTACACAGTGCCCTGCACCCCAAGCAAGCTACACACTGCTGACCTCAGAAGGATGGAAGGCTGAGTCAACCTTGAGCCAGGTACTTGTGGCCACTGGGATCAAGCTCAGGTCATGAACAGAGTCTTAACTGCAGTACTACGTGGTGGCGCTGCGGGTTAAACCGCAGAAGCCTCCGTGCTGCAAGGTCAGAAGACCTGCAGTCGTAAGATCGAATCCACGTGATGGACTGAGCTCCCATCGCTTATCCCAGCTCCTGCCAACCTAGCAGTTCAAAAGCACGTAAAAATGTGAGTCGATAAATAGGAACCACCATGGTGGGACGGTCACGACATTCCGTGTCTAGTAGCGCTGGCCACGTGACCACAGAAGACTGTCTTCAGACAAACGCTGGCTCTATGGGTTGGAAACGGAGATGAGCAGTGCCCCCAAGAGTCAGACATGACTGGATAAATTGTCAAGGGGAACCTTTACCTTTACCTCACCACAAGGCCCAGTGTCTCCCCCTCTAAATTCGTAACCTTGTTTAGTCCTAAAGTCATCCGACATCAAGCATAAAAGTTGAAATTTCTCTCTGCAACCTACAAATCTAAAAACATGCTTTTCTCAAAAAGGAAAGTGAAGTCTTCATGACAACTTGACTTTGCAAATGTATGCAAACTGGCAATTTGTTGTTGTTTTTTTAAAAAATGTACCTCAACACCTCTTTTTCGAAGCAAAGAAATTCCAACAGCATCTCTGACATCATATGAAACAATTTCTTTTGCATCTTCTGAGACGTAGATATGACCAGTGGTAAGGCCACCATCAATGGTACAAACCAGCAGTTTTACCTCCTTCAGGGTCTCTTTACCAAAGTAGCCATACCTGGAAATATGAGTGCAATAATCAGAGAGGGCATTGAAATGCTATGCTCAGAGATGTGACTAACAACTACAACAAACTTAGAATTGCAGAGCTGGTATGGACCTCTGGACCATCAAGTCCCACCTCTGTCAAAGGACCTCTGTGGGGAATTGAACGCCCAACCTCTGTCTCCACAGCCAGATTCCTAAAACAATGAAGTCTCCAGCAGCTCAATAATCTTAGAACTGCAGAGCCGGAAAGCACCCTATGGATCACGGAGTCTCCCTCTAGTTCCTCTCTATTCAGTACCGGTTAAGGTCTTATCTAAAGTATGTATGTATGTATGTATGTATGTATGTATGTATGTATGTATGTATGTATGTATGTATGTATGTATGTATGTATGTATGTATGTATGTATGTATGTATGTATGTATGTAT